ACAACATATCAAAAAATGAGGCAGATCTAACGACATCGATGGAACAGCTTCTCTACGGATCGGTCGTGGCTTACGTGGACTAACTCTTAAACAGAATATGACAGCATGGTACTTGAGACGTTTATACAATAAAGATTTTACCATAACATGTTCTATTCACTTCTCCGTGAAATAAATTATTTTATCTCGCTTGATGAAACATGAGGCAGGTGATGGAAGAATATGGAAATGAAGTTAGGATGCCTGTGATACAACGAAAGGATTTTAATAATGAAACTCATAAGAAGTGTTATCTCATTGATTATACAGTAGAAAATTGTTTATATACCGTCGAATACTGCTTAAATGAGGGTGTAGATTAGCAACTATCACTCTCTTTAAGTGATTCGTTTATTAGACTACAGTGGATCATGTGAAGACATATATTTTTTTCTCCAACACCTAGTGTGCAATAACGACACAAGGTGAAATAATGACGGTCGACTGTTTTTCTTTCTCTTCAATGTTCGTCAAACAAAAAACAAAAAATTTACTTATATATAACCACGTGTAATGTAATGTTTTTACCGTCAAATGTAAAGGTGAATATTTTTCAGTCGTTTAGAAATAAAGACAGCATACATACTCAATTTTAATGGAGAAACTTTATCGTATGTTAAAACCTCTGGCTAATCGATATAGTATTTTGTTGATATGGTTGCTGACAGTATTCAACTTTCATCTTTGTATGAAACCATTACAAGAATATGCAGCATCTATCGGTTTGAATAGAATGCCAACTATTCTTGATACTATGACTTATTACACACCAGAAGAAGGTTATCAAACTCTTTCAAATTTGGGAGAAAATGGTCGTCATGCCTATCGACTAACAAATTACGCCGAGTTTGTTTTCCCAGTTTTACTATTTCTTTCATTATCTTTGTCCAATTTGGCTATGGGAAAAAGACATCAGTATATAGTCGGACCATTTCTGTATATGATTTTTGAGTACGTTGAAAATCTCGCAGAAAAATATGTACTGGAAATTTATCCAAATCGACATGACTCAGTAATGAAATTAGCTTGTTATGCTGGGTTGATGAAGTTTGTTTTTATGTCTACAAGTTTTTTAATATTGATCGTTAATTGTTTGAAACATCTTTTATATTCAAATAGTCAAAAACAAAAATCTAAATAAAGTCTTATCTCGTTTTATTGATTTGAAATTTCAATTCGGATAGAATTAGTGATACGATATGTCGACATCAGAGCTTATAAATTGAATGCGAGTTTTTTAGAGAATGATATTCTGTATCGAATAGCATGTCTTTCGCACTTTTGAAAAAGATTTCTTTCTACATTAAAATCTAACTTTTTGAGAAGATCAATATCAAATTCGTAATCAGCGTTAAAAACTGCGTCTAGTGACCCATCCAGATGGACCCGACTTAAAAGCCAATATTTAGAAATTTAATCAAAGCGTCTGCTCCAGACTACACAGTTATACAGATTATTCTCTATTCTGCCTACGACGGCTTACACTTTGTCAGGCTTTTGTTATATAACTATTTATACATGACAAGATCTTTCGTAGTCGAGTAGTTGTACCAAAGCGTTTTTAGTGAAATATTTCTTAGAGATCAATAGATAGATTATATACATAAATGAGATCTGCTGGGTATGGGTATGGATGTGGGTGTGGGTGTGGGTGTGGGTATACTTGTTGAATTAACTCACACCCACACCCACACCCCCAC